TGTGTGGTGTCGTTCTCCCTTAACCCTACATCTCTAACACATAAATAACCCTAATCTTAATCTAGGTTTTGGGCCCAACTGGTCCATAAAACACATTATAAGTTGGCTTCAATGTAGGTCCACCAACTTCAAACACGTGCAATATTTTCAATACTTATCCAAATTAAGCGCTTCTAGTCTCCTTTGAAAGCCTTTTGAGTTAGCTTTAAAATGCCACCGTTTCTACTATTTTCGGAGGTCTAATAAATTTAGGAGACTTAAATAACTCAAGCATATCCATTGGGCCGATCTAATGCACTTGACCCATTTTGGATAATTTATGTAAAATCTAATTTAGCTCCGAATTGAATGATTCTGGATCCTCTAGAAAGCTGAATGTGTCTAGTTCCCGTATGATTTTTGGAGCTCTGTATAAAAAAATGATAAATAAAATCGTGAACCAATGTTAGTTCCCGTATATAATAAAATATGACATTTGACCCAATTTTCCAAGCCCAAAATTGCTTTAAAATGTAATATGGCATCTGACCCAATCTTCTTGGCCCAAAATTGCTTTAAAATGTCATGAAAATAATAATGAGCAAAAATTAGATCAAATTGATTTAAATTAATTAAAATCTGAATTATTGGTTCAATGAAGCCCAATTAATAAAAATTCACTAATAACAGAAAATTAAGCTCAAAACACTAATTAAAATAAGTTTAGAAAGAGACGAAAATATGAGAATATAATGACTCATCAAGTGTCGTATGCATCGATGGTGGGAAGTCTTATGTATGTTATGATTTGTATGGGACCAGATATTGCACAAGCAGTTGTGACGATCAGTCGATTTATGGCAAATCGTGGTAGAGAGCACTAGAATGTTGTAAAGAGGATCGTAAGATACATTAAAAGAGGATGTGTTCACACTTGCAAGTGGAGCGGTAAGTTGGTTATCTAAACTGCATACTATAGTAGTTTTATCTACTATAGAGGCAGAGTACATGACAACTACCCAAGCATGCAAGGAAGCAATTTGGATTCAAAGGTTATTGGAAGAACTCAGACACAAGCAACAGAAGATCATTGTGTATTGTGACAGTCAGAGTGCCTTGCACATTGCAAAGAACCCAACTTTTCATTCAAGAACAAAACACATAGGATTACAATATCATTTTGTCAAAGAAGTAGTAGAGGAAATGGGTGTGGATATGCAAAAGATTCATACCAAAGATAACCTAGCAGATGTTATGACAAAACCGATAAATGTTGACAAGTTTATACGAAGTCGATCCTGTTATGACCTATCGGAAGCATAAGCAACATGGATGAAAAAAAATATCATGGTGTGAAGATTTGATTAATTTCATCAAAATCTTCAAGTGAGAGGGGGAAAAGTCCCAAATAGAATAGAACATATTTAAGGACTTGCTTTTTATGCTATAAAAGGAATCTAATGTTTCCTTAAGAGTCATCCCAAAATTTTTCCTTTCTTTCTCTAGTATTATTTGTATTTCCTAGAAAAGATTTACATTATTTTCTTGGGACTAGAGAAATGATATGTAATTTTTTCTCCTATTATAAAATTTCTATTTTTTAGTTATTGTTGTTTTTCAATTTTTTTCTTCTTTAGTTTAGTTGAGTTATTGTACAGCAAGTAGTAGGCTGATACCCAAGTGTCACTACTACAAAATATACTTTCTACGTCGTCATTTAACGTCGGTTATAGGCTGAGACGACGTAGAAAGTACTTCTACGTCGGTTCCCGGATGAACCGACGTTGAAAGTTGAATATTAAACACATTCTACGTCGGTTCTTAGTCAACCGACGTAGAAAGTACTTTCTACGTCGGTTCCCATATAAGCCGACGTTGAAAGTCTTTTTTTTTATTTTTTTACTTATTGACACTTTCCACGTCGGTTCATATGGGAGCCGAGCGTGGAAAGTCTTTTTTTTTAATTTTTTTTCACCCAAAAACTCACTTAAATTTGAAAATTGTCATGGGTAGGATTCGAACCCAATACTTTAGAGTTGAAGACTGATACTCCAACCACTAAGCTACTAAAATTTTCTAATAATAACTTACAAATAAATTATATTTATATACAAATAAATATATATATCCATGTAAATATATATTTATTTGTATATATTTTCTGGAAAATATTTTTATTTTTATTTTCGACCAAAAATTCTCTTAAGTTAATGAATTGTCACTGATAGCATTTGAACCCAGTATTTTAGGGTTGAAAGTTAATATCCCAACCACTAAACTACTATAATTTTTTGATAATAACTTACAAATAAATTATATTGGTATTTTTCGATCGAGGGTGAAAGTGTGATTGACTCTTGCTTGAGTGAAAATATGTTAATGCTCACGGAAATTCACTTACTCAAGTCTCGCTTGAGCAAAAATTGGTATTTTTCGCTTGAGAGCAAATAACGCGTTTCCCAAATTTATTTTATATCATTATATAAATAAAATTATAAAGATTATATTACGTCATTAAATTACAAACTCATATAAAGATACCTGCTCACAAATTTAGCATCAATTTTTGAAAACCCACTCGACACACACTTTCACTTTCGAGTGTGCCCTCACATCCAACATATAAATATATAACTATATAAATATATCAAAATATATAAATATATTTGTATTTATATATTTATATATTTACACGGATATATATTTATTTGTATATAAATATAATTTATTTGTAAGTTATTATAAAAAAATTCTAGTAGTTTAGTGGTTGGAGTATCGTCCTCCAACTCTAAAGTCTTGGGTTCGAATCCTGCCAATGACAATTCTCTTAAAAAATTAATAAACTTCTAAAAAATATTATATAAAGAGATGGAAGACCTAATAAAAATATAATATAAAGAGAGGGAGACTTCTAGATAAATAAAAGGGGTAAAGGGGTTGTAAATAAATAAAAATTATTAATTTAAAAAATCATACTTTCAATATCTGTTTATTAGAATCGACGTTAAAAGTTACGATTTTCAACGTCGTCTCGATACAACATTGGTTCAACAACCGACGTTGAAAACTTTATTTGTAGTAGTGTGTGCCTCGTAAGGGAGTGATTAAGGAAAAAGAGGTGTATGCTGCATAGATATGTAATTCGGGAGGAGTGAAAAAGTACATAGGGATTAAGCAAAGATGGTTGTTTAGTTTGACTTGAATTAAGGAGCGTATTGGATTTTTGGAAAGGAGAATTCGATTGACAGAAAATCATGTCTAATGTACCAGGGAGGCCAACAAGACTGTGAATCTCAAAACAGGGTGGTTTAGGATAATTGTAACATTGTAACGATGATAATAAATATATATGTAAACCTATTTTTTTACATGATAATAAATATTAAAAGAGATAAATATTAGGTAAAATATTTTACCTAATGAATATTAGATAAAAAAATATTATCTTTATTAAAAAATTTTCATGTGACAAAATATTAGACAAAATATCATGTAAGAAAATAGGTTTATCTCTTTTAATATATTTCATGATAAATGTAAAAAATTATCATGTAAAGTATCTCTTTTAATAAAGGCTAACATGATAAAGATAATATTTTTTTGTCTAATATAAAGTTGAATATTTTTCAATAAAAATATTTTGTCTAATATAAAGTTTTGTCTAATATTTTGTCTAACATGATAAATGTAAAAATTTTGTCTAATATAAAGTTGAATATTTTTCAATAAAAATATTTTTCATGATATATGTAAAAAAATAGCCTTTAATATTTTACCTAATATCTTTATTACATGATAAAAATTAAATATTTTTCATATATATGTAAACCTATTTTTTTACATGATAATAAATATATATCTTTATTGAAATCCTTTTTTTTTAAAATTTAACTAACCAATAAATTAAAAACTATTTATTTTTATTATAAAATATGGAAAAAATTATGACAAATGAATATTTTTCAGCAAAATATGAAAACAAATATGTATAATAAATAAAATATAATGCACTAGATTAACTAACTTTATTGTTTTGAAAAAAATATTCTTAACTTTGAAATATAAACTTTCTTAATAAAAATAAATTGTCTAATAAAAAATTAAATTTATTTTATTTGAATATATATAATAATAATAATAATAATAATAATAATAATAATAATTATATAAAAAAATAATATGTTTTTCGTACAAAATTATCTGAAATTAATAAAAAAAATTCATTGAGTTGAATCATTATTTTATTTTATACTGGGGGGTTGAACTTTCTTTTATAACGTTCCTCTGATTTTTTTATTTTTTATTTTTACCTAATTTGTATATAATTCATGGTATAAAAATAAATATTTTTCATATATATATATATATATTAATTTGAAAAAATAAAAATAAAAAAGTTATTTTACATCATGGTATAAAATTTTTATTAAAAATTTTTATTTTTTACTTAATTAATATATATTTAATTAAATAAAAAGTAACTTTTAAAATCAGAAAATTATAGGTGTGAGAGATTAAAATTTTTTCTAAAATGACACCGTTGTGATAAAATTATTTCATTTTTAGAATAAATTTTATTTACATATTAATTTATTTCTTTTTACATAATTTCATTATATTAATTGATTAATTTATCCTCTACGGAATATAATTGTTCAGAAGTTATAAGTTAAGAAGAAAACAAGGTATGAATCGTCTTATATTGTAAATTACTATAATACTATTTCTAGTAATTGTAAAATAAGAATGAAAAAGACTCTTATTCATACATTATAATTCTATTTCTTTTACTCTTTTTTTTTTTATGTCATTTAATTATTCTTTTCAGTATATTTTTATAACCCGTGAATTGCACGCATGATAATGCAGTACCTAACAAATTGAACTTTGTACTTGGGTTGGTGGTGTGTTGTGAGGTTCTGCTCCTATTTAAAACTCATTCCTAATTTCAAATTCACTCCCAACAACATAAACAACACACACACACACACTCCAAAAGCCTTTTTGTCTCTTTCTCTCTCATGGCTCTCTGTTCTCCAAAATTTCTGATTCTTCTGCTGCTCTTCTCTGCCATACCCATTGGAATCATCGTCACCTTGGAACGAGCCCACCCCACCACGCATGTCTACCACTACCACAGTTCCGGCTGGTTTCGAGAATGTTCTAAGTGGGATTCTCACCACCGCCGCTTCATCGTTTCCTTCTTCGAAGGCGGTCTTGGCCAGGTTAAGCTGCCGGAAAAGGATTCCGATTTATCGGCGCCGCTGGAAGAAGTGTTGGTAGCGAAAGAGGCCAACTTGGCCAGAAACGCGTCTCTGGGTATAGTCATTGACTCACCAAGAAATCGAGTTCTGGTTGTTAACGCTGATGTCATTGGAAATCGATACAGTGCGCTTGCAGCATACGATCTCTCTACCTGGAATCGCCTATTTCTTACCCAACTAAGTGGTCCTAGTAAGCTTCTCTCTCTTCATTGATTTTTGGGTTCTTTCTCTATGAAGCTTATGTTTTTTTAATCAAACTTTTTATAAGAAATTAAGAATTCAAATGCATATTTTTTCAATTGAAGAATCCACTTAAAAAATTCAGAAACTTTTAATATATTAATCCATGAATTAATGCATGTTTAGTCAATCCTGATATTTTTAGCACCTTATGAGTATAATATGAAAGACATTTTTTTTTAATTTAGAATATTTTATATAAATGTAGAATGTTGATAAAAATAAAGATATATACTTTTCTTACTAATTCATAGATATGATTATTACCGTAAAAAAAAAAAAGACATTTGTGATCTTAATAAAGAAATTTAATTTTTGTCTATATCATAACTATTCTTGATTAAATATATCAGTAAAAATATAAATATAAGCACTTAAATTTCTATCTGATAGTAATTGTATCATTCTTTTTCATCTTGTGTGTTATTATATAGAAAAAAACTTCTTTGTTTAGTTCAACCAAAAAAAGTTCTCTACCAATTCAAGAAACTCATCAGTGGTTTATCTTATGGATATATCTCCACCAATATTTTTTAATTTTGTCTTTTCTTTTTATACAATATTACCCTTAAAATTATGCTTGAAATATCCAAAACACATCCTGAAAAAATAAAATAAAATAAAAATCAAAAGAAAAGGGTTTGATACTTTTATGGTCTATTCCTAAAGTACCCAGAATAATATAAGAATTATATGAAAATAAAATAAAAATTCAAAATGTAAAAGATTGGATATTTTTCATAAGAATATCAAGTACATGGGTATGATAGCGACACTATTTCCCACATTAAATATTTTGAAGTACGAGGTTTCGGTAGTTTGCTTCTTCTGTATTTAGATCGAATAAAACTAATTATTTTTAGTTTCTGAAATTTGAAAATTTAAAAAATTTAAACAATGTAAATATTTATTCCAATTTTTTAAACTTAATAAAATATTATTTTAATTTTTAAATATTAAATTTAAATATTTTAACATAATTTTAAAAAATGTATTTTAATCTCTTAAATTTAATATTTAGATATTAAAATCATATATACTTTTTGAAAGTTAGACCGAAAGTTAAACAAGTCTTTACCCTATAAAATGCTTGTTTTCATTTATGAAACTCCATGAGAACTCTCTTTAAAAAGTAAATGTGGATGATTGAAGTAAATGCTAACCTTCTGAATTTTGGTGATTTTTTCCCAAATGCATTTTTGAGTTTCTACAATATTTTAGAGGGAAAAGATAATTCCATTGCAAGGAATGAAAATATTTATGAGGAAACTGTTAAAAGTCTGTGCGTGGCCTCCTAGACAAAGTAATTGGAAATCCGCGTAGAAAATGTGACCATCAGTACTTGGTAGTTTCGATAATTAAACAGTTGGAAGATAATACTCCACGCCACAAGTGACAAAACGTTTAGTGATTAAAACATTGATTGTATTTTGGAAAAGTTTTTTTTTACATGAGCACGTTGTTTAAAAATTATTATTAATTACTTTATTTAATAATTTATAAAAATAATATACAAAAATATCTAAAGATAAAATAATATCTTTAAAATTTTATAAAACAATATTTATAGAAACAATCACAATTATGAAATATAATATGATATATAATACATTTTTATTTTATAAATTTTGTTCTTGCCGTGAAAATGACATGATCATGAACAATTGCTTTCTTAAGATATTATTTGATTTTGAAACTTAATTTTTTATCATGATTTTATTTTTAAATTAATTTTTATTATTTATAAAATATCTTTAAGATGATTCTTAATATGAAATTTTCGGCCTATAATAGTTTGGAACTTTTACTTATTTATTTAAATTTATTAAAATAATATTATTAAGGGTAATCATATATTTTATAAGTGAGAAAAGAAGTTATATATAAATTATGTAGGGTTTTGTAAGTTAGAAAAGAAATGTATACATAAATTATCTTTAACTTAATCAAAGATTGTGTTCATGAAGGGTTGAACTCAACATTATCTAGATTATTTAATTTTGAGTATCATATTAAATGTGTATACAATAATGTTTATACATCTTTAATCTAATGTTTAAAGGTGTTTTGTATTTAGTTGCCTCCTTTGAAAGTTATGTGAGAATGAATTGTTTAATGGATATTAGAACGTGGATATCCACAAATGAAGCACACACCTAGTAGGAGATCATTATTGATTTATGATAATGAAAAATGTGTTTTTTGTCAAAATCTTTCAACATTTGATCTACACCATGAAGCTGGTTTGTTCGTTTACTTAGCTGTCTGATTTACATATAAACATTCAAATCAACGCCACAAACCTTGTCTGCACATGGACGTGTTATTCATGTGCGAAAGAAAGAAGCAAGAAAGAAAAAAAATAGGGGTTGTGACCCGAATGTGAGTTAGGAACTATGCATGGATAATAAACCAAAGGGAAATGACCTACCTACCCAGTACGTCCTATTAATTGGATGTCCTATTATCTTGTTGCATTGGCTAAGATATAACTTTTTCTATTTGTGTTGGCTCATGAATATAGATGGTGGGTCTTGGTGACATTATTGTGACAATGTCGATTTTCCAATGGATGCAGGTGATGAGAAATCTTTCGCTGACGATGTTGCAGTGGATGGTGAAGGCAATGCTTACGTTACTGATGCAAAAGGCAATAAAATCTGGAAAGTTGGGGTAGAAGGGAAGCTTATATCAACCATTAAAAGCCCATTGTTTTCTGCAAAAGAGTGGTACAAGAACTTGGTTGGGCTAAATGGAATAGTTTACCACCCAGATGGGTTTCTGATAGTGGTTCACACATTCAGCGGCAATTTGTTTAAGATTGATTTAACAAAAGGAGAGGAGGTAAAGATAATAAAGGTAAAAGGGAGTCTTTCTTTTGGAGATGGGTTAGAACTACTGTCTCCTACGAAGCTGGTAGTTGCTGGAAATCCTTCAGGAAGATTAGTGGAGAGTTCAGATGGGTGGAACACTGCTTCTGTTGTGGGAACATTCTCAGGGCCTAAGCATCGCTTGGCCACAGCAGCAACAGTGAAGGACGGCAAGGTGTATTTGAACCATTTGGTTGGAATGGGATACCCCAAAAAGAAGCACGCAATCGTTGAGGCAGTTTTTTAGAAATCTAAACAGTGGGGAGGTGGGGTTCTCAGTTTTACAGGATGTTTGGTTTTAAATTTGGTGTACCTTCGGTTATTTATGTTTGTTTGGTTTTGTTGCATTACTTGTTCCAAATGCCTTTCTCTTGAATCTCTTGCATGTTGTCTTGTCTTATTTAATCTCTTTAATCAAGCAATTGCTGAAGATAGTTCCTAGAAATATAATAAGTAGGGTGTTCCTTAGCTTATTTATGTTTACCTTTGGGACAAAGAGTAAATATGTACACCCACAAGTCATCGAGAGGATACTTCTTCATATGTCTAAATAACAAACTAGTTAAACTAATGTAAGGTTATTCCTGCAACCTAAGTTTTCGGAAGTTGCATAATAGCATATATGAGGACTAGGTAGAGACTCATTGCCTAGAGTTAACAATTATATCATTATGCTAGCTTAACATGTAATTTTAGTTTATTTTTAATATGTTAATTTTATCCCACCTTTTAAAATAAAAGCATATATTTTTTTCATCCAATTTTTCAAAATTAGTAATTTTAGTTTAACATCGAAATTACGACTTGACTATTACATAGCTAATATTTGTTAACATTATTTTTTTATATTGAAGTGATTTAAATTATTTCAACAATATCTTTCATGTTGCATACTTTTTTGTTGTGATAACAATTTAAAATGTCAAAGAATATCATTCAAATGTGTCAGATGTGAATCAACATTAATATCAAATTCTTAAATTAGACTTATAATCTTAAATAACTAATTTTTGAAAAATTAAAGACTAAATTTCTTTATCTTAAATTAAAAGGTTCAAAAGTGTAGATCGGAAAACACGAGCACCAATGTTTTTGTTATATGAATTTTCATAACTATACATTCTAAATTTAAAATAAAATAATAATAAAAAATAATATTTTGATATATTTTTATTAAATCATTTTATAGATTATTATATTATAGATTATTATATTAATAAAAGAGAATGATTTGAAGAGATTATGTTTATTGGATTGTCGAAATATAACCACTTAAAAGATAATATTTATAAATGCATAATCTCATAGGTATTATTTATGTATATTTTAAAAAATCTAAACGTTAGGTGAAATCATTAATAAGTGTTCGTAAACTTATTTATTTAATAAATTAAATTAGATAAAAAGTAGTGAACGTAACATGTCAGAACATCCATGATTAACGCTAACAATAATAGCCTTCAATCAGATGACTACAGAAGATTCCACATCTAACACAGCTTACAATCTGAAATTTCTTTTTCATTTCACAAATTATAGCACTTTATTCTATTTATTAATATATTGGATGGCTCATATAATAAAGAGCGAAAACATGTTTGAAGAACAAGTTTGCCGAAATGTCATGCCTAGCATCTGAAAACTAAATTCAATATCGGACCAAAACCCATTGTCTTACCAGTTAGCCACGTCCCATTTTCCATTTTATATTAATAAAGATTATTATTGATATTGGTTGTTCGTCAATTCCAGTTCAAAAATTTCTAGCTTGTTTGCCCTCAACATTAATTTGCTTCATGCCTTCATCTCTTGCCCATTTTATTACTTAGCCGTGTCCTATCCATAATTTAAGGCTTATTACAAACCGATTATTTTATTCCTTCTTCTGTGACAGTTGATCTCGAATCTATCCCATGCCATGTCACACATTTGTCTACGTTGAGAATAAGGTAGAAGCCAAAAATTTGTATGTGCTCGACCTTGGTCCAGGATTCCAGGCTCATCAATGAGACTGGTGTTTCTTTGCTCTGCCTTGAGAAGCCGCTGATTCGTCTCTCTTGGAACCCTCAGGTTTCCGTGCCCATGGTGGTGCTTGATCTGGACCATAGCGATAATCATAGAAGAGCTCCTCACTAGCATCAATGTGCTCCTTGGCAAATATGCCTACTCGGTGATCTCCAGCAACCAGCATCACCTATGCCACAAGTACAAGAGGCCAATAATTATAACAGTTTAAAGATTAAGCCACTTAGTAAAAAGGGTACAACTTTAAAATCCCAAAATTTGAGTTTCTGGACTCACCTTTGCATAGCAGTTGGGGTTTGACGAGTGGTTCGCAAATTTTAACTTGTCTCCTTTGCGATAAGCATCAAGAACGTACTGTTAAAAAAAAATAGAAGCTTTAAGATCTAAAGATAGGTTGCAGACCCAACTTGTTAATAGCTTGCCATGAAAGAAATGCGACGAAAGGACGACGTTGACAAAAGTAAAAAATAAAATAAAAATAAAACAATAATACATGACTTAACCTCTTTCAAATTACTAGGAAACTCTTATCAATGAGGAAAGAGCTAGAGCAGCACAAGATACGAGAAAATGTAGAAGATGAGATACTTACTTGATCATTCAAGTCAAAAAGGAAAGAAGAGTTGGCACGATCATATATTTTCCCGCGCTTATCAGCTTCTCGGTGGGAGATCAGTTCTCCAGTGTACTCTCCTAGGTAATCATTTTTGTTAACAGGGTTCTGATATACCATCATCGATTAGTATTAGTATTTAGAAAACAAACAAATGTATTAATCTCATAAATAACCTTCAAGAAGGCTCCCCATCCTGCAACATCAGACTTTGCCAAGAGAATCTGACAGACATAAATAAAACAACAGTGAGACCCAAATGCATGAGTTATGCATCCATGATTTTGAAATGTGGATAATCTCAAACAACTAAGCTCAGAATCACTAACTCTCTGTTGTTGCCTTAAAAGAAGCCTCATATTTCCACATTGACCTTCTCCACGCCGAGTTGGCTCCCCTAATGAACCATCACCACAACTGTATACAAAGAACTTAACTTTCAAAAGCATTCACCATAATTTGAGGTGGAAGGATAATAAATTGTCCAAATGACATATAAAAGGGGTAACAGTTGAGAATTTTTTTTCACTGAAACTGCATTAAAGGGAATTACTGTGGTGTCAAACAGGAATATACTCGTGAAATAGAGAATTATCAATTCATGGTTTCTAGTTTCGGGCGGGGGTGGGGCTTGTAGAGGACGTGAATTTCTGGGATGAATAAATTTTAAGCAAAATTATATGTTCAGGAGTTACCCAATTGTTTTCGTACAGGTGGTTTTTACCTGTTAAAAGAGGATAAATTCAACTAAAAGTTCTAAGATGTCAATGATTATAATCAATTTAAATCATTAAGAATTTCAAGGAATTTAGGACAGTTTCAAGAAAAGCTGAAAATAAGCTTTTACCTTTATAATATTTATTAGGTATCGAAGCAGAATAAAATAAACTTTGAATAATATATACTTGTGTAATGTGATATTTTACGATAAGAGATAATGTAATGTGATGAAAAACCTGGAGCACTCACTTTTAATTTTGCTAATAATCCTGATTAAATAAGAAATAAATTATACTCTCTCCAATCCTTAATATTAAGACACATCCAACATAATCACACACACCCCAAAGTAATTAATTCAATTTTTTGAATTTTTAAAACAAAGTTACTAATGTACTAAATTTACTCTCATTATTAATAACTTTTAAAATTCGTTTCTTATTATTTATTAATAAAAAACAAACATATTCATAATATTAAATAGGGACAAACAAAGAAACAAAATTTAATGCTTAAACTCTCAAATGCCTTATAAAAACAATCATCAATTTCTTCTAAACTATATCTTATATTTAGGACCTGGGAGTAAAATATAAAGAAAAAAATGAAAAGTATGAAAATTAATATTACGAGATAATTTCTAAGATATTTTAAAATACAATATTGACATTATGAGATATTCTAACATACAAAATAAATATTTCACCATAGCTATACTATATTCATAGCAGTGAAACGACACATCGCACCTTTCCAGTGCCAGGCTCAGACGCCAGAGAAGAGAGGATAGAAGTAGCAGAAGGTCAAATTTTATACATTTTTCAATACTGAATCATAGGCAGACACGTGCACCCTCCATGTTTAAACCCTTTGACCTTCCGATTTTAATGAGGTGAAATATAAAATGCCCAAAGTCATCTTCAATCATCTCATTGTAGCATCTCTTTTATCGTTAAATTTTTTTTATTGATGCATATCTTATGCAAATTAATACTAGTGTTTAGAAAGCATACTGAAATTTGTGTTGAATGAAGCTATCGTATGCAAATTAATACTAGTGCTTAGAAAGCATGCTGAAATTCGTGTTGAATCAAGCAATTGTTTGCAAATTAATATTAATATTTTCTAAAATAATAACTTATATAAATCAGATATAAACAAAATGATTGCAAGAGTTTAACTTTGGTTTCTCAAGTTAGTCAATATTTATGACTGAAAATTTGACAAAGGTTTGCATAATATAAATAAACAAGCAAAATGTTTGGGGTACAAATATTACTGGTAATTTTGTGAATAATGGCTTTCTTGATTAGATGAAGTAATAGAATGGAGATATGTTCATTCAAAAGACTAGCAGTCTTAAAAATAAAGTTCACAGCAAAAATACTAGGCATCTTACCTAACCCAGCAGTTCCGACAGACATCTGGGTCGCATTCCCGTCCTGCAGCAAAACATGGGCATTGTCGACTTCTGCACTGACTCTTGGCACAATGGCATCCTCTGAACCGATTTTTGCAGCTTTTTGAACAACTGAAGGTAGAAGAGCCAATTTATTACACTAAATCATGATTTCACAATTACATTCATCAAGTTTTAGTTTACACATATTTTATAGGAACCTAATAACACTAAAAGATTTTGAAGAAATAGTTTTATATTGACAGTTTTATATCTCTTGCTCCTCGGAAATAAATGTCTGCTTCTTGTTTTATGTTCAAAGGTTTGCTGTAACGAACAGTGGGGTCATGAGAATACTCTTTCCGAGATTACACCACACCTTAACTCACACAATGAGCAAGGGAGGAGAATCGTGCGCACTAGGCTAACCAACAAACATTTGAAGGATTTTGTGTGGGCCAGGAAATAGTAGATAATTCTGTTAGGGAGA